TCCAATCAAGTCACACATGCCTATATACATTGTCAAGCATTCATATGCCAAGTTTCAAGGCTCACAAGGTCAAGTTGCACAGTCAAAAACCCTAAATGCTTCACAGTCAACTGCAGGGGCAAAATGGTCATTTGACAGTCAAAAGTCAAAAATTTTGGTCAACATCTTATTTTGAAGCCACAAACATCATTTGATCAATTCTTGATCATGATTTCACAAGTATGGCTCAAAAAGTCTCAAGATGCAAAAGTTTCTATTTTTGGACAGTTGAAAAAGTCAACTGCAAATTGACCAAGGCATAACTTCTTCATGGTTTATCAGAAAAATTCCATCCAAAGCTCATTTTGAAGAGAATGACATTTCCTACAACTCATCTTCACACTTCAAGTCCAAGAAATGCTCTCACCAAAAGTTATCAATTTCAACATTATAGGTCATTTTCAAAAGTCAACAAAAAGGCACTTTAAGTCAAAGACCATAACTTGAGATTGGTAAATCAAAATGACATGGGACCAAAGGCATTGGTTAGAGGACTTCAAGACCTTTCCAAAATGTCAAGGAACATGATCATGGCTTCAAAATTGAGCAAGATATGCCTTGTAGAAGTTGGGAAATTTTGGGAATTTTGAGAAGTCAACTTTGCTTCAAAAGCTTCAAAATTGCTAATGGGCCACAAATTCTCCCATGAATCATTACCCAAAGGCTATGCACGACCCATTGACCTAAAACGGATGTATTTTCTTATTTTTGATTAATTATTTGAATTTTTAATCTTATTAATTCATTTAATTAAAGTTAATTATGAGAAAAATATTAAACAATGGTTTTAAATCTTTTTTGTGCAGCAAATATGTCCATTATGAGCTAAATATTTCGTGCATCAATCAACAAGGACAAATCACCCATATTTGACATGATTGGCATGGAAAAAGATTGAAAAAAGATATGGAAAAAATCAAATATTCAAAACATGAATGCATGAATCCATGGGCTTGGTTTTAACCTAATTTCACTCAAATACTTATACACAAGCTAACCCTATCCCATTGGACACGAAAAACTGCATAGAGGCTGCATACCAATTGGCAAAACTTCATCAAAAAATTGAAAACTGAAAACATAGTTACAAGGCGTTTCAAAGCACAAAAAGCCTTTCAATACATTCCTGACATTGCTAGGAACGTGTTGCAATCAAGAACCAGTCTCCAGACCCCAAGAATTGGTAGAACAACATTGCACTTTCCATGAACATATCCATTATCGTTTTTTAATTTACATGCATTATTCATGAGTTTTAATTGTTGATCCTTACTAACAATGATGTTCTGAAGCTAATGGTACCATTTAATTGAACTAACAATGCCTATATCAAAATCTACCATTGATGGATATTAGGTTTTAAGAAGCTCAAAATTATGGGTTTCTTCATATGGAAAAATCAGACCTTCAAACCTGTGCCATTGGATTCGTGACCTCAAGACAAGACAAACTCATACCTCGCGCCCTTTTTATATTTGCTCATGTTCTAATCGTTATTTTCATGGTTTCTATTTAGTGGGGGTTTAAAACCCCCGCTATCTGTTTTCTATTTGCAGGCAAACGAAGAAGAAAGCTAGCGTGGCTTGATGTTACTGGACAATTCAAAATTGGCGCGTGATTTTGTTATTCATATTACTAACGTTTGTTCTTTTTATAATAATCACGTTCCATTAACATTACAAAGAAACGCGTTGGCTTGGTTGGTGGCTAAGGTGTCCTGCAGGCATTGGGACCTGGGTTCGATTCCCAGGTCCCCTCTCATATTTCATAATTTTTTCCTTAACTTGTTTCCATGCAGTGCACGTCCCAGGGCTCATCATACAACCTCAAATGCTGGCCTGCCACGCGCCCATGAGCTTCAATCTGAAGGCTACAATAGGATGTCTACCATGCACCTTAGTCAATGCATGAACATTCAAGCTGGAAAGTCAACGCAGGCTTTGCATTCTTGGGCCTGAATTTCTCAATTAAACCTCCAAAAAGGGCCAGACACCCCCCATGGTTTGCATCAATTTTTGATTTTTATTTGTTTTTCTTTCTAATTCTATTAATTGTTTTAATTGTTTTCTTTAATTTCCTAAAATAATTTTCATAATAAAAATAAAATACAGAAAAATCAAAAGATGTTTATTGTTATTAATATTAATTTCCCTATTATTTTTTGTAAATAAACTTTAATAATTAATTTAGTTTAATTTAGGGTTTTCAATTTTAATCTTTTCTTAAATAAATAAAATATGTAGAAATTAGGGTTTGTTACCTTTTCATTTTTTTAATCATTATTATTATTATTAATTACTAATTTATTTTGTAAATAAACATGTACATAAATTATTTAGTAAATTAGGTTAAACTTTAATATTTTTTCATTAACAATTAAAAACAACTTAGAATTAGGGTTTCTCTTGATTTTCAATTTTCTTTATTTTCATTAAATACCAAAAACCTAAAAAACATTTCTTTTCTTTTAATAAAATAATTAATTAATTCTTAATTCAATTTAATTTCAAAAGGGTCCAACGCCCTCGAACGTGCAACTTTAATTCTTTCGCGCATTCATTCTTATTTTTTTCTTTTTTCAATATTATGTAACTGTTCAAGCCATGTAATAGTAATTAGGAATTTATTTTACTTTCCGCATTTTTATTAAAACGGGTCTTTGTTAATTTGGCGATGTATAGACCCGCGCCTTGTAATAGCGTAGGATTTTACTTTCCGCATTTAAATTTCCGCACTTTTAAATTATAATTGCATGAAAGAATGTATGACCTAAATTAAAAACAAGTGTAGATCACCAAGATACATGTACCAGATAAAACATAACATGAAAATAACACACAAATTCACACACCACTCTTAGGGTACGCCTCACTGTTGCCTTACCTTCAAAACGTGGTCGTCGAGTATAAGACGTTTTAGCAAGTCCTTATGTCCATGACATGATCCAGTTGCCTCGAAACGGTTGCCTCGAAATTAAAAAGGATCAATGGCATAAGGGTAGCTTCTAAGGTGTCCTACTGTTGCTCTGGTGACCACACTGTCCCTAACAAATGAATTGACCCGAACACCTCCAACGGTGGTGCTACCTACCTCTCAATGGTGGGATGACACTACCTTAAGGACATTTACACAGCTTAATTCCTTAGGGTATGTAGATGACTCGTAGATGCTTGCTCTATTCAAAAACAAATCAAAACTCTTTTTGCACCGACACTTTCAAAAAAGCTTTCAAAACAATTTTTCAAACACTCTTGAGGACTGATACAAGAGTCGATCTGAAATCTTTAAACGAAACCTTTTCAAACCCACTCACAATTGAAAAGCAAGCATTTTTGAAAACACAAATGAACAAGTATCTAAGAGCCCATGGATAACCATGGATAGAAAGGGTGCTAACACCTTCCCTTTCTATAAATCTACCTCCCGAACCGAGAAACTATCTCATAAGGAATTTTGCTGTGCTTTTGTCCTTTCCATGTTGGAGAAAATAAAAGACGGTGGCGACTCTTGCTTCCGCGACATTTCGCGAAACCAGCGTTAAACAGTCAGTTCCAGATCCACCGATCACACTCGGGCTTGAGCATCAGATCTATCAGTGGCTCGTCCAACAATAGAACCATCTACGCCTCTGGTCCTCATTGCAAAATAAGAAAATATTAGGAAAATATAAACTATCAGAAATTTCTAAATTTTCGGTATTCTATGACGTATCCAAAAATTTCAAAATTTTCGGTATAAATGGTAAATGAAAATACCAGATATTTTGAAATTTCCGGTACAAAAATATCGGATATTTTGAAATTTCCGGTACAAAATAGCAGAGATTTCACAAATCTACCGTAAATTCTTACTTGTTCATGAAATTTCCGACATCGCCTTTAAAATTTCCAGTATCGCCTAAAATTTAAAAAAATCGGTTGGTTACGTAAATTTGAAATTTATGGTGAATAATTTGAGTCTGGACAATTTGGTCTTTTCATACCATTTAGGAGGGTACCATGTATAATATGAAGGGTGACAAGTTAATTTCTCAAGAAACTGCCTTCTTAAAAAATGAAGAAATTTAAAATAAAAAAGACCCATGTAAAAGGCACAATTGAAAATTTTACCTTGTACCCCTACATTTATCCTCATACCCCTACATTTTATAAAAAATACCAATTTTTCCCTTGTATATTTCTAACTAAATTATTATTTTATTTTATAATATTTTTTTAATATTTATTTTGTATACTGAAAGACTTTGCAAAATTGTTCTGGCATTCAATTTTTTACACGATTTTTATTGTGTTTCGAAAGACTTTTTAAAAGTGTTTCAAAAGTCATTTTTTATATATTTTTATTTTGTGTATCGGAAAACTTTTTTAAAGTGTTTCGGAAGTTATTTTTAAACTTTTATTTTGTGTACCGGAAGACTTTGTAAAAATATTCCGAAAATCAACTTTTATATTAATTTTTATTTTGTGTTCCAGAAGACTTTTCAAAAGTGTTCCGAAAGTCAATTTTTTACATCATTTTATTTTGTGTTTTAGAAGATTTTTCAAAAGTATCCTGTAAATCATTTTTTTACATTCTTTTTATTTTGTGTTTCGAAAAACTTTTGAAAAGTCTTCCAAAAATTATTTTCTTTACAATTTTTTAATTTTTATTGTATATTGAAAAACTTTGTAAAAGAGTTCCAATAGTCATATTTTTTCATATTTTTTAATTTTTAATAAAATTTTATTTAAGGACATTTTGGTCAAATTTTTTTTAATATAGGGTAAGGGGATAAATGTTGGGGGAACGAAGTAAATTTTTCGGCACAATTGAACTCAAAAGCCCATTAACACCAATAAATCTGAAAATAAAAACCAAACATCAAAACTTCCTTTGGGCGGAGTTCAAATCAATTAAAATCGAATATCTGAAAATCTGAAACCCTAACAATTTTGGTGTGAAATTGGCGATTAGGGAAAGAAATGCCTCAGAGACATTCGAAGAACAACAACGATCTCGCGTTCTTCACGTACGACGAGAAGCGGAAGCTTGGTTATGGAACGCAGAAGGAGAGGTTGGGGAAGGATTCCATCAAACCCTTCGATGCTTGCTCTCTCTGTCTCAAATCCTTAATTGATCCCATGAGCTGCCAAAAAGGTCATCTTTTCTGTAAAGAGTGCATTCTTGAGTGCTTGTTGTCTCAGAAGAAGGATATTCAAAGGTACTTTCATGTTTTGAATGTTTGATTTCTGTTGTGATACTTACACTTGTGATTGTGTTTAATTTATTCATTTTCTTAATTATTACTTGTGTTGACGTGTCGGTGTCCGTGTGAGACAATCTATTGGAGCACAAAACATTAAACTCGGACTTAGTAGAAGGAACATAGATATCTGCTGGTAGAAATAACCTTCCTCAAACTGCTGTTGAACATAGGACGTGTGACACTGACACACAATTCCAGTGTCCTACTTATATGCCAAAATATATGCCAGAGGCCAATGACAAAAGCACACGAGACTCTTGAAGTGCATAAACGACTATAAAGGAAGGTTAAGGTTGAGGCTCAACTCAAATTTGATTGAAAAATCCAAAATTTCTTTAAAATGTTGTAAATTTAAGGGGTAATTTTGGTTTTTAAGAGGGAAAAGGGTAGCAGGCCAGAAACCGCTCCGGGCTGGGAACCGCTCTGCTTCGCTATCCTGCTATTTACCCTATAGCGGCCACTATAGTGTTCTGCACTGCTTGTCGGTCTGACCAAACTGAGCATATAGTAGTATTGGGTACACCATAAAAATCCTTCTGAAAGTTTGAGAGTACACTCCTTAAATCTTCCCACTTCATTTGTACTTGTCACACTCCACTTATGTCCTTACTTTGCTTGACAGCTTCAAACACTTTAAATTTTGAATAAGATGATACATGTAATAAGCTTCCTCCAGTTCTCTGCTATTACATTTCACTTCTCCCAACCTTGATGCAATCTTACAGCTCCTTCTTGCATGCCCAGTCTGTCTTACCACCACCAGATCCTTTTTGACAAGTTTATTTCCTTGGAATATGAATTTCTGTTCTGTGCACCCAAATCACAGGGGTTGTGCTCCAGTATCTGTATCATTTTTTATATGTTGATTTCTCTTGAGCTGTCCACTTCATTGAGCCCAAAGAAGGTGGCTGCAGAAATGATAAAAGAATTTTTGCATGTATTCCTTCAATTCTTTGGGCTTAGCCTATTAAAGCCAAAATAGAAGCTAATTGAAGAACTGTTTTTTTAGTTTGCCTGTATTAACTTCCTTACTAAAGCCTGCTTCGGCTCAATCTTTAACTAAAAAAACAAGAGTTATCAAATCCTAGATAGCGGAGCAGACGGTTGACCCCAAAAATGGGATTGCGAGATAACCACTATTTTTTGGACAAATCATATGAATAAATACTACAAAACGTAAAACTAAAGAAATAACACAATACCCATAAAAGATTTGAAAAATCAAAAATCAAAGCACAAAGCTTAATCAAAAACTCTTAATCAAATTCAACACTCTTAATCAAAAACATATATGAATAATAACTATTAACTTATTATTACTTTAAAAAAACAGAGGATAGTGAGAACACGAGAGAAGAAAAAAGAAATGTTTTAAAGAGTAGATAGTGAGAACTAAAGAAGTACAGAAGAAAGAAAAAAAGAACAGTGGCCCGCTGCTGGGAGGGAAGGAATTGAACATGATGGGGTAGAAGTGAACGATAGAAGATTGGAAACGAGAGTGAGAACACGAGTAGGTAGCGAAGAGAGTTCTAAGGTTAGGGCTAAACTGTCCAAAATAACACAAAAGAGCTGAAAAGCTCATTTTTTAAGGGTAAATTAGGGTTGTCTGGGTTAAAGCAGATAGCAGGTTTTAACACGCTCTAGGCCAGAAAGCGCTCCTCACCCGCGTCCTGCAAACACCCCAATAGCGCCCTTAATCACAAACTGCGACGCAATGGGCTTTCAAATAGCGGCCGTCCTCCACGCCGCTGCTATTCCCCGGGATTGATAACTCTGCAAAAAACAAGCTTATTTTGCAAAGTTTCCATGCGGTGCTTCCTTCTTCCTCTTCTTTTAGAATTGATCGGGAGCACCCAAGTCTGATCTATGACTGGAGCAACTATTAGCCATACTTTTATTACTTCCGAATGAACTCTAGATTAATGAGACTGCGAATCTGATAATTAAGACCAAAATAATTAATTGCTTCCTGTGAAGGATGTAGCTGTTGTGTACACTGCCTTGACAACACAGTTGGCAAGGATATGCAAATTGCCACATCACGATTAGCATGTGGTGGATCTTGGGGTGGATGGTAGTGGATAGGAAATTGATGGAGTCCAGTTATTCAAGAGAGACACACTCATTGCTGTGCTAAATGTTGTTTGTTTGCTCTGCCGATAATGTCATACTATCAAATGGGTTAACATCTGGTGGGTGCATATGGTTAAACTACCTTTGGCTTGGATCGCCATTGTTGCCTTGGGAAATTCCTGATCTGACAGTTTCAATGACAGATAAAGGATGTTTTGAATCCCGTGACCATCACTCTTTGACTTTTCAACACTTTTTGTCATTGTGAATAAAACTTATTGGCTGCTCCATTTCTTCTTCACGAAGATTCTTTGTTCCTTCATTTTCTCAACTGAATGCTCAAAGAAATCAATGGTTGATTCCATCTATCGTCAGTCTTTTTGTTCTATGGTTGTAGTCCCTCAAAAGTCCAGCTGCCATAATTGAACCAGTTTCAGGAGCTTTTCAATTAGCTTTGTTTGACTTAACTTTCCATTTGATTTAACTTCCTCAATGTTAACATAAAATTTCACACTTTTGCCAATTTCCTTATTCCTAAAATATAGAATAGGTGCTCTATTAGCTGCCATTGTTTAATTTTTGCAATTTTTCTGTAATGATAAACTAAACGAATTTTTCTGTTTCCTGTAAATTGTGATAGCTGGTCTAAGTTCTTATGCAGAATATATTCCATTACTTTGTTCAGAACATTTAAATATTTGTTGTCCTTATGCATGTTACATTTTCTTTCTATGGATACTACCAGTATTATATTGTGAATATTAACAATGTTGTTTGTGATATTTCCATTTGGAATAAAATAGGAGGCTTGTGGCACATTCTGCTCAGCAGAAGCAAGAAAAAGAAGAGGAAGAAGAGAAATTAACGTTGCAGAAGGCTAAAGAGCTTGACGCATTTGATCAGCAGAATCACGGTGCTGTACCACAATACAGTGATAGAAGCTATAGCCGAGACAAGAATGGTTTCCATGGTGCAAACAGTGTGAAGGTCACTTCCTATGAGGAGGAAGCCCTTAGGACAATGAAGGCATTTTGGTTACCTTCCGCTACACCAGAAGCTTCTGTTAAAGTAGATGCTCCTTCTACCACTACTATCTGTCCAGAAGGCAAGGAGAACCTAAAATTAAAGACACTTTTCCCTGTCCAGTTCACTGAAGATACTACCGAGCAGAATAAATCCAACGCCCTTGACCGGAGCTACGTTTGTCCTAGCTGCAAAACCACTCTCACCAACACAATGTCACTTGTAGCCCTCAGTTCATGTGGGCATGTTTTTTGTAAAAAATGTTCTGACAGATTTATGGCTGTCGACAAGGTTTGTCTTGTTTGCAACAAGGCGTGTAAAGAGAGACATTTGGTGAATCTGAAGAGGGGAGGTACAGGTTTTGCTGGTCATGATGATAATCTTGAAGCCAAAGATTTTAAGCATTTGGGAAGCGGCTCTGGTTTGGGGCTGGTTAGACCTGCGATGAAAACTTAAAGTTGTATTCGTTTACACTAGAGTGTTGTGGATGATTAATTTGCGTTAAACTTCTCCTTATGATGAAATTATGTTGTTACTCATCATCTTCTCTATTGTTTACTGATGTATTTTACTACTTGTATGTTATATTTGGTTTTCTATATTTGTTCAGTTCAAATCACACCCTGATAAATTGAAAAACCAGCTTGTTCTGTTAGATGTAGTGGATCCAATTTATATAGTAATTCAAGTAATGTTTAATCAGTCACAATGATAGTTGAAGGTGAGGTGGTTTTTGTGGTCAATATTCCATGTGAATAACTTGATGCACGTGGGCTGCTTCAAGAAACAGCAGGCAAACGGGTGGAACCTCTTATCCACCAACGCAAAAGAAAAGACATTCCAACAAAAGCCAATTATAGAAAGTGGAAAATTTTCGTTTTCAACTTGATGTCCTATTTTGATTGCTTCACCTACTTGTTTGCATTTTTTTTATTATCTATTTTTCAATTACATAAAATACAGCTAAGGTTGCCCCACTGGGTAGGTAATGGTGCATGATGACATTGTTATTTTATCCATTTACATATACTGTACTCTCTTTTATCATCCATATCCTAACAATTGTTAATGATAAAATTCATTTTAATTGAGTATTAACTTATGCAAAATCACAATTTTTTAAAGTTTATTTCTTATTAAATTTTAATTGAAATATTAATCATTCAAAATATTGCGGTGCGTAATAATAGTTTTTATTCTGAAAACATTTAACAAAAAATAGATATTTTAAATTCTAAAATAAAAATAAAGACAGATATTTTTTTAAAAATATATGACAAATTTATAATTTTTTAAAACTTAGATATGATTTTTTAAATATAATTTTATTATTTTTTAATAAAAATATGACAAATTTATAATTTTTTTTACATAAAGGCAATTTCTTTTTATTTTCATTTTCTAAACAATATTTAAATATACTTATTATATTTTTATTAAAAATAATAAAAACTACACCTAAAAGCCCAATGCCCATGACTAAGTTTAAACAAATCTTTGGTTAAAAGAAAAGAAATACTTCTCATAAATGCTCTTGGCTATTAGCCATTTTAATTTTGTTGAAATTATACTGTCATCGAGTTTGATTGAATATAAAAACACTTATCTAATCATTTAATTTCATGTTTTTTAATATTGATTTTATTAAAAGAAATTTAAATGTTTGTATGGAGTTTTCTCATAAAATTACGATCTTAGTTAAAATATCAGGACACTTTTGATCATCCCACTTGGCGCATGCTCTCTCATTTAACCAAGTGAGATGGCGCATGCACTTTAAAAGTGAGAGGAGACACCATCTCACTTGGCTCCTAGGGCAAAATGCATTTTTTATAAATAATTCGTCCGTTTCTCCGTCATTCCTCACACTATCTCGCACTGTCCTCTTATTTTTTTCTCTGTTATTTGCATCATGACATCGCCCATGATTTTTATCAGAGATAGTTACATTATTTTGTCGGTCACAAAACCTCCGATGAAAATGAAATTTTGGCACATTCACTCCATGGAGCGTCTGAAGAGGGAGTTGATGCGATGGCTAGAGGGAGAGATCGAGGATGTGGAACAAATTAAAAGGATCCAGCGAAGAAGAAAAATAACCTCACTTGCGACAGGAAGACCTAATTTTTGGTTGGAGGAAGTCAAAACAGACAGCGACGTAATGTTGATGATGCATGGGTCAGATGAAATTGTTTTAACGGTTGTAATTTTGTAGATGGTTTATCGTGTTTTATTTCTTGTTCGTGCAAGGTTTATTGTAACAAATGCTGTTTGTGATCGGTGGAAATAGAACTGACTGTTTAAAGTTAGTTCGCGAAATGTCGCGGTAAGCAAGAGTCGCCACCGTCTTTTATGTTCTCCAACATGGAAAGGACAAAAGCACAGCAAAATTCCTTATCGAGAATGTTTCTCGGTTCGGGAGGTAGATTTATAGAAAGGGAAGGTGTTAGCACCCTTTCTATCTGTGGTTATTCACGGGCTCTTAGGTACTTGCTCTTATGTTTTCAAAAAATGGTTTACTTTTCAAATGTGTGTGGGGTTTGAAAAAGTTTCGTTTAAAAAATTTCTAGGTAACTCTTGTATCTGTACTCAAGAATGTATGAAAAATTTGTTTGAAAACTTTTTGAAAGTGTAGGTGCGAAAAGTTGTTTTTGTTTTTTGAAAAAGCAAGTATCTATGAGTCATCTACCTACCCTAAGGAATTAGGTTGTGTAAATGTCCTTAAGATAGTGCCATTCCACCATTGAGAGGTAGGTAGCACCATCGTTGGAGTTGTTCGGGTCAATTCGAGTTTAGGGATAGTGTGGTCACCAGAGCAACAGTAGGACACCTTAGAAGCTACCCTTATGCCATTGATCCTTTTTTTAATTCGAGGCAACTTTTCCGAGGCAACTGGATCATGGACATAAGGACTTACTAAAACGTCTTATACTCGACGACCACGTTTCGAAGGTAAGGCAACAGTGAGGCGTACCCTAAGAGTGGTGTGTGAATTTGTGTGTTGTTTTCATGTCAAGTTTATCTTTGATCAGGGCATAGTGAGCTACGAGTTTATTTTTAATTAGCCATACATTCTTTCATGCAATTAGAATTTAAAAGTGCGGAAATTTAAATGCGGAAAGATAAATCATACGCTATTACAAGGCGCGGGTCTATACATCGCTAAAATACAAAGACCCGTTTTATAAAAGATGCGGAAAGTAAAACCTAGTTACTATTACAAGCCATAAGCAGTTACATAATATTCGAAAGAAAATAAAAATAACGTGCGAAAGAATAAAAGTTAAGATGTCTGAGGGTTTTGACCCTTTTGAAATTAAATTGAAATTAAAGTCTAATGAGTTATTTAATTAAAGAAAGAAAAGAAAAGAAAATGTTTTTTAGGTTTTTTAGTATTTAATGAAATAAAGAAAATTAAAATTGGAATGAAACCCTAATTCTAAATATTTTAATGATTAAGAAAGTATTAAAATTTACCTAATTTACTAATTGATTAATGTACATGTTTATTTACAAAAATATTTAGTAATTAATAATAATAATAATAAGAGAAAATTATTTATTAAAAAAAAGATGAAAAGATCAAAACCCTAATTCTACTTGTTTTATTTATTAAAAAAAAGATTAAAGTTTAAACCTAATTTAACTAAATTAATTACTTAACATTTATTTACAAAAATAAATTAATAGTGAATTAAATATTAACTAAATATATTACAATTTTTGATTTCTGGTTTTTATATTATGAAAATTATTTTTGGTGAATTAAATAAAACAATTAAAACAATTAAAACAAATTAAAACAAAAAAAGAAAAGAAAAGGAAGTTAAAAAATATAATACAAACATTGGGGGTGTCTGGCCCATTTAGGAGGTTTTTTGAAGTAGTTTGGCCCATCAGAACTAAGCCTTTTTTGACTTCTTGGGATCACGTGTGGGATGGTTGACTGAGTGTACCATGGAATTCACGTTCTGGCCTTTGGATGAGATCTCCTGGCCACTTGGCAAGCCTCAACATGCGCGTGTATGGTGAACCACTGAATGAGCGCTACATAGAAACGCGTTAGGATAAAAATTATGGAATATATGGGGGACCTGGGAATCGAACCCAGGTCCTAGTGGTTGCAATACACATCCCTTGCCAATTGATCTAGCGCGTTCGTTTATATATAATATAATAAAGGAACATAATATAAACAAGATGCCCATTATGCTGGAATATCACAAAAAACGCGCCAACGTTTGAATTGTCCAACCATATGAGGACACGCATGCTTCTTCTTCCTCTTTATACCTGCAATATAAACAAGTAGCGAGGGTTTTAAACCCCCACTAAGTACAACCAGGAAAAATAGCGATTAGAAGATGCCCAAATATAAATTGAGCGCGAGGTTATTAATAGCTTCGTCTTGTTGCAACGAGTTTGCCTATGCTGGTTTGATGGTCCAATTTTACACCCTATGCAAAGCCCCAATTTTTGAGCTCTGAAACCCTAAAACACATTAATGGTAATTCACGATATAGAACCTTATAATACAATTGAGTCATACCATTAGCTTCAGCATGTTCCTGTGAATGCAAAACAATCAAAAAAATGCATCAAATGCGCATGAATCATGATATGGAATTCAAGAAAAAGTTGCAAACCGTATGGCCTGTGTTCTATGATTCTTGGCACGTTTTGATTGATTCTTGATTGCAAAAGCTTCCTGGATGGTCCAGCAATGCAATGGAATACTTGTTATGCTTTGAAATGCCCTGCAAATATGATTTCAGATTCCAAAATTTTGATGAAAAGTTGCAATTTGGTTATGCCTTTCTGAACAGTTTTTCGTGTCCTTTAGAATAGGGTTGAGTTGTGCATAAGTAAGTGACTGAAATTAGGTAAAAAAACCAAGCCCAATGTCCATGAATTTATGATTCCAATATTTGATTTTTTTCATATCTTTTTCAATCTTTTTGCCATGAAAACCATGCCAATTATGGAAGATTTGGCCTTGTTGATTGATGCACGATTTGCCATCTTGCCCTAGTTTGATTTGCTGCAGAAAAAAGATTTAAAAAGCATGATTTGATATTTTTCTTATATTTAAAACTAATTAAATGAATTAATAAGAATAAAAACTCAATTAATTAATTAAAAATAATAAAATAAATCCCTTTGAGCTTAATGGGTCGTGCATATGCTTTGGGTAATGATTCATGGAAGAATTTGTGGCCCATTAGCAATTTTGAAGCTTTTGAAGCAAAGTTGACTTTTCAAAATTCCCAAAAATTTCCCAACTTCTCCAAGGAATATCTTGCTCAATTTTGAAGCTAAGAACATGTTCTTGGACATTTTGGAAAGGTCTTTAAGTCCTATAACCAATGCCTTTGGTCCCATGTAATTTTGATTTACCAATCTCAAGTTATGGTCTTTGACTTAAAGTGCTTTTTTGTTGACCTTTGAAAATGACC